TACATTTTTATCGTAATAGATCACTTAAATAAAAATCATAGTAATCATTTCTAATTAACTTTTGGCGTTTAAAAAGATTCTACAATGGAAATATTCAGAATTTAATTAATTTTAATGATTATATATCTAAAAAAACCTATAAAAAAAAATGTTATTCAATTTAGCCTATTATAAAAATTGATTATAATTGTAAAAATCCATTGTTAATTCAGGAGAAACTAACAATCATTTTTTTTAGAAATGATTTGTATAGCAACATATTACAAAAAAATTTGGCATATTATAGATTGGTAGTAGCACACATAAATAGAGTTAAAAAAATAATAAATTACAAAGTAAAATTATTTACTTTTGTAGTTGAATACTTTTATCATATCAAATCTAATTTGACAATAAATACTTTAAGAATGTTAGAAATGAATGATTTTAATTGTGTGTATGGAAAAAGCTAGTTAAGCTACATTTTATTTGAATAAGGAATATTTTTTCGATTTTTAAGAGTAATAACTTAAACTAAATATGAATTGTAATCATTTGACGTATCGTTGAAAAAAGTAGGAGTAGTGAGGGTTGGCAAAATAATTCGTAGCAACAAAAAAAACTACATAGTAAAATAATATTAACATGAATATAAATTTCTTCTCACGAGAGGAGACTATAGTGATAAGATCCTTTATATTTATTGAAGTTATTGAATCTAAATGAGATAAATATCAAATGATTTGAAAATTTTATTGTAGCTCAAAAAAAAAAGCAAAATAGAAGTTGCCACAGTCGAATTTGAACCTCGTACTCTAAGCGGGAAAGACACAGGTGTTACCCATTCGGCAACTGCTCGTTGTTTTAGTCGCATGATAAAATTAGCAATTTAAGTTAATTCAAATTTAAAAATTACTTTTTCGACTTTAAAAAAGTAAAAAAATTTAATAAGATTAATTTCATATGTCTTATGAACTTTATTCTATGTCAATTAAATTATATAATATTCATGAAAGTCAGTGTATTCCCCTAATAAGATATTTTAAAATAAAATAAAATACAAAACCCAGTATTTTAATAAAAAAATAGCATATTTTTGAATACGGTAGCCATTTGCGCATTGAAGATAGGTCGTCGGGACAAATTTTTTTTTTTAAATTTTATAGTACATAAAATAAGTTTTAATTTGATATATATTTAAAGGACGCAGTATTTCCGGAACATTTTTAAAAGTTCAGTTGAAAAAGTTCTAATTTTTATACAATGTTTTAAGTTTTGAACGCCCCCTATATAAGGGGAAATTGTCTAATTTTAATAAAAAGTATGTCAAAAGAAAGATGTACTTATAGTATATTTAGAAAAAAAAAATTTGTGCTGATGCATACATTTTTCGAAAAATTATAGCATTTTTAAGTTGAAAATTTAAAATCGAAAATCGAAAATTTTAACACAAAAATAGCGTTTTTTTAACTACGGTAGCCGTTTACATGCAGAAGATAAAGTGTCGGGACAAATTTTTTTTTTCCTTTTATAGTACATAAAATAAGCTTTAATTTGATATATGTTTAAAGGACGCAGTATTTCCGGAACATTTTCAAAAATTAAGTTGAAAAAGTTAGTTTTTGTAAAATAGTTGCTATTTTAAATCCCCCTAATGAGCAGGTTATGTGTTAGATTTTCAAAAAAATGATAGCAAATGAAATGAAAATATCTAAGGTTTTAGTATAAAAAAAATTATGTTGATTTGTTTATTTTTTAAAAAGTTATGGAAGTTTTAAGAAAAAAAGAGAAAAAAATGACAAAATTTACCGATTTTTAAATTTGTAATTTTTTTGGATATTTCCCCCATTTGCGGGGAACGAGGGAATTGTTTTCAATTTTTAAGGGTAATGTCTTCAACTAGATACGATTTGTGATACTTTGACGTATTGATGAAAGAAATCGGTCCAGTGAGAGCTGAGAAAAAGTAGTGACAGACACAAAAAAAAAAAAAATAAATAAATAAATAAACACATCATGGTAAAATTAATACCCTCTCAGCTTCGCATCGAAGCTAAAATACATAGTAAATAACTTTTATATGAACAAGAAATTTCTTCAAACGAGGGAGGTAGTAGTCCTTGGTATTTATTAAAGTTATTGAATCTAAATGCGATAAAAATCAAATGATTTAAAAATTTTTTTCTAACTCTCAAAATTTTGTAAGGTATTTTAAAATAAAATAAAATACAAAATCGAAAATTTAAACACAAAATTAGCATACGGTAGCCATTACTACTATGAATACACAATAAAGTCCGAATTATTTTTTTGAATAACAAAGTATATTACATAAGCTTTAATTTAAGATATATATAAAAGTGTCAGACTTTCCGGAACACTTTCAAAAATTAAGTTGAAAAAGTGAATTTTTCGTGAAAAAGTTGTCATTTTAAATCCCTCCAAGTGGCAAGGTTAAGAGTCAGTTTTATAAAAAAATTATACCAAATGATAGATAAAGACATCATGCATCTATATAAAATAAAATAATATTGATTTGGTCATTTTTATAAAATTTATGGTAGTTTTAAGTAAAAAAAATTGAAAAAGTGTTGAAAATTAGCGATTTTTAAATTTATAATTTTTTTGGAGATTTTCTCCATTTACGGGGAACGAGGGAAATTTTTTCAATTGTAGAGGGTAATGTCTTCAACTAGATACAATTTGTGATCTTTTGATGCATTGATGAAAGAAATCGATTCGGTAAGAGCTGAGAAAAAGTGGTAAGAGACACAAAAAAAAACACATCATAGTAAAATTAATACCTACTCAGCTTTGTATCGAAGCTAAAATTAAAAATGTTTACGTAATTTTTGCTTCTTTTAATTCTTTAAATTCAGTAATCAACATAAATTTATGTGTGCAAATGAGATATTTTATCTCATACTTTCTAATAGTTAACAAGCAATTTTGTTTGTAAAAGGCATTTAATTATCCACATACATATTCTGTTACAAAATCAAAAGTGCAACTAGAATAAAAATGTTGAAGGTACCGTCAAATAGGTAAACTTGGGTTAGTGGTTTAAACGTGAGAATTAAATATCTATTATAATTTTAGTCATCATAATCTACAGTACGAGTAAAATATTGTTAAGAAACAAAATATTTGTTTACAAAAATTGAGTGATGAAATCTTTAAAATATTTATCTGCCTCAAGTTGATGGTATTAAGGTACGGTCTGCCAGTCGCGACGTGTCGCGGCCACCGGCGATCATGAACTGTCGTCGCGACTGTTGTGGTCTTCAAGTAACGACCGCGACATGTCGCGATGATTAAATTATTATTTTCGGCCTGTTTTCACAAACAGTAATATTGTCATTTCAGTTTAATATCTCTTCAAGTACGCATTACGCGAGTATTCTAAAAAAAATCTTATACAATGGATAAATTTATTTTTAATAATAATAATATTTTAAGTCTCCTCTTAATGGATGAGGATGACGATGAGGCTAGATTATTATCTTATTTAACGCCAAAGAAAAGAAAAATAACGGACAATATCTTTAAAAATCGCGAAAGTGAAGGATTTTTTAAAATATTAATTAATCGACATTTAACAAGCAATCACGTTAGGTTTCGGGAATATTTCCGAATTAATTATGAACAATTTAATTTTTTACTATCTTTGGTGGAAGAAAAATTAACTTTACCGCCTAACAATCGAGTCNAAAATTAACTTTACCACCTAACAATCGAGTTAAAAATCCTATATCGCCGGCAGAAAAATTAGCAGTTACTTTAAGGTATTTATAATTAATTTAATATTTTATAAATTGTATCTATACCTACCAGTGGCGTATTAACAGTATTTACAGTAGTAATTAAGTTTGAATTATTTTTAAATAGGTATCTTGCCACTGGTGAATCATTGAGATCATTAGCATTCGCTTTTCGTATCAGTCATAACTATTTAAGCATAATTATAAAAAAAAACACTAGCTGAATTGAAAATTAAATTGGTGCTCATTTTTTTGCCCGATTCAAAAAATATTGATTATAAACAAAAATCCGCAGAATTTTAGTACAAGTGGAATTTCCCAAATTGTATTTTAGCAATTGATGGAAAACATGTCCGTATACGAAGTCCAAGCAATTCTGGGTCATTATTTCATAATTATAAAGATTTTTTTTCAATTGTACTTCTGGCAATGGTGGATGCGAATAATAAATTTGTTGCTGTGGACATTGGTTCTTTTGGTAAAGATGGCGATAGTGGCATTTTTTTGAAGTCAAATATTGGCCAGAAAATTTTAAATGGGACATTTGGATTTCCAGAAGAGTGTCAACTTCCTGGATTAGACAAAGTAGCGCCCCATATAATTGTTGGTGATGAAGCTTTCAGAAATAATTATTATTTTATGTACTTGAATAAATGTAATGAAAATTATTTATTATATTATTTACCAGATTTTCCAATTTTTGCCGATATTTCTTTCCAAATTGTGTCCTTAATCATAATATTTTTGTAATCCGTAGCAGCTATATTATATAATATAGGATTATTTTCAACTTCTTGAATTAATATTTCGTCATCAGACGATGAAAATACTAATTTTGACATAGTGTCGCTAGATGTGTCGCGCGTATACTGCTCTTGCAGCAGTAAGTCGTCGGTCGCGGCGACCGGTCGCCGCGACACATCGCGCCTGGCAGACCGTACCTTTAATTATATTTTTTCCACACCTTAAAAATTCTATTTATAACAACATGACTAATTTTTCCACATTTTTTGGTGTGAGGGGGCTAATTTATCAACTGGGGAGCTAAGCCTTGTCAAGAACTTCTAATTGTACTTATGTAATTAACTGTGCATTTCTAATAGGATTGAATAGGAGTCAAATTCCTTTATAACGAAAAAGTTTTTTAATAAAAAACTGTCTTAGATCATACTTACTATAATTAGGTATTTATCAAACTAACTATACAAGGATAATGTGTTTTTAGATCTTTAATAAAACATAAGGTATATATTTGCTTACCTGTTTTATTGATTTTTAAGGAAGTTTCTATAGAGGTATATTAATATTACAGCATATGGTTGTACTGTTATATTAAAAAACATACCTTTTAATATTATCAATTTATCAATAATTTGATTAACAACCTACACACTATACACTCTACTGACATGCGCCAACGTCCATAATAGTGCTTTAGTGAAAATTCGTTTAATATATTGTGAATATTAATAAAACATTTCATTATAATAAAATGTAAGTTTTGTACAATTTATGTTCATTACAAAATTTTTGAGAAATTTGTAATTATGTCAAGTTATATAGGTAATCATTCTGCTAGAAAATCAGAGTAAGTGAAATTCATTATACACTGAGCTATAAAATATATTCATAAAGTTATTTATTTAAATCATACACTGATAAAATTAGTACATTTTTTTCTTAACGCTTTAAAATTGATAAATACTTCTTATAATATCCTCAGAATAGTAAACAATTAACACTCTAATCTTATTGTGCTTATATGAAACCTATAATTTCGTTATTAATTGGTTAAGGCACAAAAAAATAAAATAAAATGGGATTTGTTCAAATAATTTTAAATTGTTGTTTTATTGTGATACTTTATAATTAATACTTCAAAAGTTCAGGATTATTTGTATATAGATATAAATATATATTTTTTATATAATGTTAATATCTATGTTAATTAATTTTCATTTTTGTTTTACACTAGTGATAAATATGANAAATATAAACACAACAATAAAGATAAGAGAGCGGTGCGAGAAAACGCACGTCGTAATCATACACAATACTGTACTGTACTGTACAGTATTTTGATGATTTAAATGATAGGGATGACTCAAAAAGGTAAATAGATTTTAATAATAAGTTTTTTTTTAAGTATTGAGTGTTAATATTTGTATCAACAGAAAATCAAGAAATTTGAGTGAAAAGAAACGAAGAGATCAGTTCAACAGTTTAATTAATGAACTGAATTGTATGCTATCAACCAACAATAGAAAAATGGATAAATCCACTGTTCTTCGAACAACTATAAACTATTTAAAAAATCAAAAAGGTAAAATGTTAATAATTGAACAAGTAAATAATATATTAAGTTATTTTTTTCATTACTTAAAATTTTATTTGTTAATTTATAATTATCTTAATTAAAAAAGTTATATTGTTTAGATATTGTTCTGAGATCAAGAGTACATGAAATTGACAATGAATGGAAACCTCCATTTTTATTTAATGAAGAATTCACTCACATTATTCTAGAGGTAAGACAACCTTATTACATTATTAACTAATAATTTAAATTGTGATTATGTGTGGACATTTTCTATGTAAAACAAAAAAATAGCCAAAAATTTTAATTAAAGTACTTTGAAAAAAGTTTATTAATAATCTTATGAAGTTATTATTTAGTGGTTGAAATGGAGAAAAAGAATAGAATTGAGAACAGCTTCTTAATTTTTAGAGCTTTTGTTTTTTTTATATTTTAAAGACATCTCAATAATTTAACTGTAGTACTTATATATTATTCTTTTCTTTTACAAAAATTTTAGGCATTAGATGGATTTATAATAGTATTTACATCCATAGGAAAAATATTGTATGCTTCTGAAACAGTAACTGCCTTACTTGGTTATCTTCCGGTAATTTTTTAAAATATTAGTTTTATTTCAAAAATATAAAATAATATATTAATTTTTTAGAAAACTTTAACAAACAAGTCTATATTCAAGGTAGTTAATGAAGCAGATCATCCAGTAATACAACATCATATTGCTGAATCTAAACACTCATATGAAAATAAAAACAGTAAAAAATTTTAATAAATTTATTTGACAATATTATTATTATTTTAATATTAACCCAACCGTTATGGCCCCTAATGGGCTTATAAAGTGTTACAAAAAATATTATAGTAAATGAAAAATTAATAATATAAAATAAAATTTATTATTAATTTTATTAGCATATTTATAATATGATAATTAAATAATAAAATATATTTAAGTAATATAAAATATTATTTTCAAGATGATTACATTGTTACAGATCAAGTTGAATTTTCATGTCATTGTAAAAGACACAATCCTTTTAAAAATGAAGACGAAACAAATTTATTTGAGTTAGTTCAGTTTTTTGGATATTTTAGAAATAGCAATGATATTTTACACGGGGATAGTGGTATTATATCATCTTATAGTAATGACGATGATGAACAAAGGTAATGTTGAAAAGACAAAAAACCTTTAACTTCATTATAAATTATTAGTATAATTAATATTATTATTTTTCATAACAAATAGAAATTTAGGAATTACAGTTCTATTTTTGTAATAATTTTATTGCATTACATATTTGTATGTATTTTGAAAACATTTTCATTTTAATTTTTCAATTAATAATGTGTAATATAGAATGATTTATTTTTCAAAATTCCCCAAACTTTTTGTTCAAGAATGATTTTTTCATAAATGTACTGAATAATTAAAATTTTTTTTATAAACCATGATAAATATTGAGTTATTGTAATAAAAAAAAATTATTCTTAAGGATAGCTTTTAGAGATAACTTTTGTAAGTTAAATGAGAACCTATATATATTAGTATAACATTAGAATTATAAAGTTTACATAGTTAACTGGTTGAAAACCAGTTTTTAATATTCTTTTTGAGTTGTTACAATTTTTAAGCTTAGACGAGAGAAATATACAACATAATAGTATTTAGGGATTTTAGTAAAAATAGAGTGCTGCTCAAGACTACCACAACTATTAGCTTATCTGAATCTTTAAAATTCTAATACATAAAAAAGTTATTTTATAAAACTGGATATTGACCAACCAAAATTTAATTTAGTTGTTTGTCTATTAAATATATATAAAAATTATAGGTTTCCATTTTACTTTCGAATGTTACTCTTAAAAATAATTTTTTGTTTAGAACTACATAATTATCATAGTTTATAAAAATTTAATAAAATGTTTGTAGAGATGTGTTGGTTTTAAAGCCAAACCGAATTCATACATAGCTGACCTGTCTCTTCCAAATAATGCTTCTGGTTTTTAAAATTTTATTTGTTACAGTTGACGTAGAATTTATTCTACATTCACAAAAATTTTAATTCAAATTAAAAAAATTAGTAGTTAAGATTGTATGTTTGCAATCATTTTTTTGATAGTGACAAGAAAAATAAGTAGAAAAAAAATGAAAAACTACCCAATAGATTAAATATTTAATCCTTTTGTGACACATGTTAGGGTAATCAATTAAAACCAAATTTTTTATATCTTACTTTTAGATGTACTAGAAGAGTTTTGAGAGTCTCATTTAAAATATTTTGAATAAAAAACTATATCATTATAAATGAGATCACCATATTACACATAGTAATTTTTTGTTTTTTAATTTATAGTTTAGTATTTGTTGGTATTGGAAGAATAATGACACCGCAATTATTAAAAGAACTAACTGTTATGGAAGACATTAAAAGTGAATTTACCTCAAGACATAGTTTAGAATGGAAATTTTTGTTTCTAGATCATAGGTAATTTTATAATAGTAACAAGTTATTATACATGGTTCAGTAAGTAAGAAAACAAGTCAATTGTTCAAATAATGAGAACAATAGAAACCTTTTTCCTTACTTACTGATCACTCTATTAAAAATATAGATATCAGTGTTTTGATTAATTTTAGAAAGTATTATAAAATATGATTTAAAATAAGGAATTAACTGTATTGTTAGTATAAGAGGATTATATCTTGCTAAAAAAAGTTACATTAGTAACATAAGTTACTTTAATATTTTTTTCGTGTAGAATTTAAATTTTGTGTTATTTGGTTATACCCAAAATACCATTCTTATACTCAGAGTGAGGTATTCTTATAAAGATTATTACAGGGAGTTTTATTTATCATGAACTACTTATTTAATCAAAAAATGAAATCAACCTTTATTTATGAGTTTCTTTTAGTTCTATGTTTTTCTCAATTTATTAATCATAAAGTTTTTTATGTCCTTTTTACCTTTTAAAGGTGTCAACATTATTTAAAAAAATACAATTATACATACATAATTAACTTATTATTTATTTATTAAGTGGAGAGAAGAGTTTGGTGTGTTATGTAATAAAAGAATTCCAATGAGACTGAAAGGTAAATTCTATAATAAGGCCAGCTATGATGTATGGTACAGAGTGTTGGACAGTTGACAAGGAAATAGATCAGAGAATGAGTGTAGAAGAGATGAGAATGCTTAGATAGATTAATGGAGTGACTAGAAAAGATAGGATAAAGAACGAATATATAAGAGCGAGTATAGATGTAATGTCAATCGTAGATAAGATGAGAGAAAATGGACTTAAATGGTTTGGTCATGTTATGAGGAGAGAGGAATCTGATGCGGTAAGAACAGTTATAGAAATGAATGTTGAAGGAAGTAGAGGTAGAGGAAGACCAAAAAAGAGATGGAGGGATGTAATTGAATGTGATATGAGGACAGCTGATGTGAGTGTAGATGATGTAGGTGATTGTTTCAAGTGGAAGTTTAGGATAAGGATGGCCAACCCCAAGCAGTTGTGATTAAGACAAGGAAAAATAAGAAGATTCACTATTTCTTTATTTATACTGGGTAGTCCGTTTTTCATAACCCATTAAATTACTTACAAAATAAAAAAAAAAACCAAACCCAACCCAACTTAATCATTTTTTTTTTTTAGTATTTTTTAGTTACACATATTTTTTAATTTATAAATTATTAAATACTTTTACAGTTCATTTCTTATATTTTTTAAGGATGTCAACTTAATTTTTTTTTATGACAACATACATATTTAAATAACTTATAAAATAGAAAATGATCTAATTAAAAAAATAACGGGTCAATAACAAATTTGGACCAGTACTTTAGTTATTCATATTTTAATACCTAGATGGGAAAAGGTGTGACCGAAAAATATTTAGTGATAAAAATGATAGCATCTACTCCTTACCTCTAGTCATTAATTTAAATTGTTAGTAACTTCTAAAGTTACTGGTTCAAAAATTGTTATTAGCTCATTATTTTCTTAATTAGATCATTATAAATTAATAAGCTAATTAATTATGTATGTTTTTATTTGAAAAAAAGTTGACACCTTATTAAGGTATAAGTGATGAATATTAAGGTGGGTAATTTTTTTTTAATATTTCATGGGCACAGCGATAAAAGGGTGCTAAATCGAGGTAAAATTTCATTTAATTCAAAGATATCTAACTGCTTCCGGATTATCTTCAAAGTTTCAGATTTTTAATACTTGGATTTGACCGAAAAAATAATATCTATTTACTGTAAAAATACAATTGTTATGTTTATTACCGTAGAATGTTATATAATATTATCTTTGATGACGTTTTTGGGAAAATTACTAGTAATTCAAAACAAAATTAAGTTATAAATTAAACCCGTATGACGTACAAATATATACTACCAATACGTGTTGGCCATATGTCACATAATTTCTACAAGATTATTGTTGTCCGACATCGCGCCTCGTGTGTTTTTATAACAATATAAATACTAAGATTAGACCATTTTATATGTTTTGCATCAATCGACTATCAGTACCGCCATAGATATTTAGTGGAGAAGTTGTGTTAATACCGTCTAGCTTTCGTGCGTTTGAATTATGGACCGTAGTCGTAATGCTTGGAAATGTCTCTTATTTGGTGAAACATGTGACATTAAATATAATATGTTGTCAAAATACAAAGATGTTATGAAGTTTTACGAGTGGACCCGGCGCAAAACTAAATATGAAAAGGAAACTAAAAAAGAACCAATGTACAAGGAATTAGAAACCATAGTCATTGCAAAAGTTTAAAACATATGGTTAAAATCTTCTATTCCTATCGTTGAAAACAAACGAGTAAATGCAATGTTAAAAGCATATCATTTTAAATGCAAAAATCTACTCAAATCTTATTCTAAAATACCAGATAAAAAATTTGAAATTAGTAGTAAAGCCCTGTTTGATATTTCAACATGTAAGTGTAAAGATATCAACAAGTGTATCTGTCCTAGGATAAAAAATATACCTATGAGATAACAAGACTTTTTAATTACAACTTTTTAATTAAATACTATGAGGAAAATGGTTATTGGAACAGTAGACATTCATACGACAAATCAAAAGAGAAATACAACGAAAAGAAAGTTAGAGAGGGAAAAATTGCAGTGTAATACTTAAAAATAAAATACAGAAAAGCTTAATATTCCAATTTCTTCTACATCTATTGAATATGACAGTGTATATGATAACATACCCCAAACATAATCGCCAGCCACTAAGATAGTTTCCAAAACTAAATCTACCATAATAAAATTATTATGCTTTATTATCAAAAACATGTGATAGATGTAGTTTCAGATAGAGCTGCGACGGTCATTGCCTTGGCGGTATTGCATAGTGCTTCTAGTACTAGTTCGGAAGTTATTTATAAAAATAAGCTTCGCCGAAAGCACAAAAAAACAAAACAGTGTATTTTAACACAAGAAAAAGTTTTACAAATACCTGCTTTATATTTTGACAGATAAAAGGACAAAACATTAACTATCGTAGAGAATGATGGATGAAAGTATAGACAAAATATTCTAGAAGAACACATTTCTTTGAATAGAGAACCAGACTCATCATTTTTGGTATACATCGCACTAATTTCTGGCACTTTTAAATGTATTGAATATGTAATTATTAATCACTTTTTGAAGGGATTATTTTTTGGCAGTTGTGATGTAATTGTATGTTGGGTGTGATGGAACAAACATAAACTTAGGAAAAAATGGTATTATTAGTTTGTTAGTAAAAAGATTAAATAAGCCGTTACAATGGATAATTTGTTTGCTGCACATGAATGAATTACCATTGCGACATTTATTCATACATATTGATGGCTCAACATCAGGACCCCTGACATTTAAGGAGAAATTGGCCAACAATTAGAAAAGTGTGAAAAAAATCTGTTCTTCAGTTTCAATCTATTCCCAGAGAACTTCTTGAGGTGTATCAACTCAAGGTATGAGTTCAGATCAAAAGTATACAGAATAGTCTCTGCGGTAATAACGGACGTATTTCCTGAAAATTTAAAAAGCATGTCACCTGGCAAAATGTAATGTAGTAAATCAGATAGAGGAGGCTTCATTAAAGCACAGATAGAGTGACAAAGTGTTATGCTAAAATTTGACAGTAAGAAAGGTTTTCTTACTATTTAAACTTATACTATTAATATACTATTATTATTCTTTGTATGTTTTTCTCATCAATATTCAAATGAAATTAATGAAATTAATTTTATTATTTAAATTATGCTTTCTAAACATTTTATTGAACTTAACATTTATAACGAAAAATATGTTTTAATATTGTAAAATTTTAAGAGTTATACTGAAATTTGACAATAAGAAAGATTTTGTAACTATTTAAATAAATAACTATTATAATATTATTATTCTGTGTATTTTGTTTTCATTTATAAACAAATGTAATTAAGGAAATTGCATTTTATTGCACAATTTTTGCTTTCTAAACTGTTTTAAAACATATATCATTATTAACTAAAAAAATTATGTTTTAACAATAGTTCATTTTCAAGGTCGATCCGGAAGCAAAAGATGATATCATATCGATACCAAACTTAGTATGTAATTTTAAGATGCAATTTAGCACCTTTTTATTGTTGTGCCTGGTCAAAATAAGAGAAAAATTTTTTTTTTTGCTCTATAATAATGACCCACCCTAATGAACATAAAAAGTATTTTATGATTGATAAATTGAGAAAAATATGTAACTAAAAGAAACCAATAAATAATGATTAATATTATTTTTATATTTTTTTGTGTTAAGTGGTTTATGATACATTAATTTCCTTGTATATTTTTTGGCATAATAGCTTTATTTTTTAGTTGGAATGTAAAAATAATTTTTAAAGAATTCCAAATTTTTACCTAAGAAATTAATGAATTTAATATTGAAATATAATATACTATATGACTGTTGTCAGTAAAGTTATATTATAAAAGTAGTATCAAATATAAATTAAAGTTATAAAGCCCTAGTTTCTTATTTTAATATAGTCCAAGTGGTGGTCTAATACAAACTTTTAATGATGATGATAATAATGATTTTCAATATATAATTGATAAAATAAGTTTAGTTATTCTTTTCTGTTAAAAATGGAATAAATATGTTTTCATAATTTATTTTAGTTATAAATTTTTGATAACACCAGGTAATTTGTTTCAGAGGACCACCAATAATAGGCTATATGCCATTTGAAGTACTAGGAACATCTGGATATGAATATTATCATATAGATGATCTTGAAGATGTAATATTATCACATCAAGCCTGTAAGCAAAATTTATTGTTAAATTACCGTTTAATAAATGAATATAGTATGATTTGCATAATATGAGGGTCAGCTAAAAAGTAATGCACACATGTTTGTTACACGTATCTAAAGAATTCTTTAATTTTTTTTTTGATTTTGTAAATATCTTATTTTATTTTTGAGTTATAAGAAAGTATGCATTACTTTTCAGCCTCCTCTCATACACTGTATTTTGAAGAAAATTAATGTTATCTTATACTAAATAGATTTTGTATTTTTATTATACATTTTATATTTCAGTAATGTTAAAAGGAGAAGAAACATCTTGTTATTATCGATTTTTAACTAAAGGTCAACAATGGATATGGCTGCAATCAAGATATTATATAAGTTACCATCAATGGAATTCAAAACCTGAATTTATTGTTTGCCATCATAGAGTCATTAACTATTTAAATGTCATTAAAAGAGAAGGAGAGACTGAAGATGGAAAAAAAAATTGTCAAAAAAGATTGTGGCATTTGCCTTTAAATGAACATTCTCAAAGATTATCAAAAAGTACTAGTGGATCTTACCAAAGAAAACATTATGAGATGCAAACAACAGACTTGCCAAAATTGGTAATGTTTTAAATTTTAAATATAAAATAAAACTAATAAATCTTATTTAAGTGAAATAATAAGTTTTTTTTCATTTTTTCAAAGAAAAAATATTTTTTATTTTTTAAACTTGAAAATTTTATATGAAAATCGTTTGTTTCTTTATATTTATTCTATAAAAAATTGTTCATGGATTAATAAAAATAATTACTATTTTTTATTATTCTATGAGGCATTGGCATTGGTATTTTCATATAGATGGAAGTTTGAACTAATATTGTAATTAGTTTTAATAATTTTCAACAAGAGTCATTCAAATTTCTTAATCCAATAAAGACTAATGTAAAGGCAGATATTGAAAATTTAGAAATATACTTCGTAGCATTTTATTTTTATTGTTGATTTCAAATAAAGTGTTAAATTTAAAAATAATTATCTCCTAGTGAACCTCATTTTAATAAAAAATTAACTTTTATCATTTTTACATATATAATATACTTGCTATATTATATTACATCATAGTGATTCACGAAGTTTTGACCAACCTAACAACTTTTGATCCAGAAAATATTTTGTGATACTTTTTTAAGTTTTGGATTATGTTAAAAGCATATTTTATTATTTGTCTAATAAAAAAAAAACAATGGATTTTTTTTTTAGAAATTTTTTTGTATGTATTTTTATGCCAACTCAATATACAAGCAGAGAGACTAAGAGGGTGAAATTAGGATTTTATTTTTTTCTAGTATTTAAAGCTTATTGATGACTATACAATGTTCAATTATATTATACAATAGGTGACTTCACTAGTGAAGTCACTTCACTTAGTGAATGAAAAGTTAAGGATTTTTTTTGTCTTTTAAAATTTTAAAGTATAACAATTATTTAAAAAAAATTTTGTAAAATAATAATGCAAAATACGAGGTACGTCCAGAAAGTAAGTTCCGCTTTCTATTTATATCGCGTTTGCGATGTTATCTTAATTACGGTCATATCCGATTATTTCATTTACTTATTTGGAACATTTTAAAACCATTCCGTGACTAGTTAGTGTATGTACGTCACGTGGCTAGTGTTTTAAAATGGATAAACGAATAGAAAATTATGCCATATGTGAGTTACGATCTGTGATTCATTTTTTAAATGCAAAGAATATTAAACCAGTTGATATTCATTGTCAATTTTGTGAAGTTTATGGAGAAAATGCTATGAGTGATTCAATGGTTAGGAGATGGGTGCGACGACAAGGCATGCTTAGCCGTGGCATTGTTTTCATCGCAAATGTGACAAAACAACTTCTTGCAGATTTTGCATGGGAACAATTTAATCATCCGCCTTACAGTCCAGCCCAGTAATTTTCACCTTTTTTTACACATGAAATTATTTACGAGTGGCCAGAACATCGACGAAGATGATGAGGTGAAAAAGGCTATTAGCGCATGGTTACAATTACAGGCGTCATCTTTCTATGACGAAGGGATACAACAACTAGTACTTCGATATGATAAGTGCTTCAATAATGGTAGTAACTATGTTGAAAAATAAAGTTGTACTTGTATTTTATGTTCAAATAAAATTTATATTAAAATTTACACATTTACATGTTTTTATTGCCCAACGGAAATTACTTTCTCGTACCTCGTAATATTAACTAGATCAATAGTTATAGGACATTCTGTATCACTCTGTATAATTTTGTATACTATTACTCTGAGCATCAGAACACAGAGGGTTGTTAACCTAGCTACATTAATTATTTATTATCCTTAATTCGCTAACTTCATTTATCTATATAAATTAAATGAAAATTAATTAAATAAGGATAATAAGAATTATAATAAATTTAGATGAACTAATAATTATAATTAAAGAATTATAAGTGTTTCTTTTTTATCTTATATACATTTTGAACAATTTATTTTATTATAGAAAATAAGATTAGTTGAAGATGCTTCAAGTTCAAATTGTGAAAAGTCACATATGAAAGTAGTTGAAACTAAACAAGAGCTCCCTGAACAATTCAATAACTACTTACAAAATACACAAAATTCTATGAAAGTGCCTTCGGTTACTGTTTCTCCTGTAAGTATTTTACACATTTATTATTATTTAATGTAAATTATTTTCTGACTAAAAACTGAGAATCAAAAGGTTATAATTAGTGTTAATTATAGGTTAGTTAGTTATTGTCTAAATGACATTTTTGTTGTTTTTACCTCCAATTACAAAAAATTAAGAATTTAACTTTTTTTCTTGATCATTTAAAATCAAGAAAGTGAAGATAGCTTTACTTCTTGTTAATTATTATCTTCTCAATAATTATCTTTATTTTAATGAACAATTAAAGTTGAAAAATATTTTTAATTAGTTGCCTGAAAATATAATTCAAGATCAGTTACAACGTAAGCAAGAACAATTACAAAAAACTATTGTAAGACAACAAGAGGAACTACGTAAAGTTTCAGAACAGTTACTTATGGCTAGATGTGGAATATTACCATCTTATATTGATGTAAGTTTTTTATGCTTAAATTTTACTCATGATATCTAGCATTAAAATTAAATAAAAATTAGGGTTCTCTTCAGTTGACTGCTTCAAATGCAAGACAATTAACACAGCCTGAGACATCGGTAACACAAATAATTTGTTCCTCGACAAATGAAAGTTTTTTTGATTCGTCAGCATTAATGCCTCCTGATGTACTTATGTTAAATCATCGGGTAATTATCTTAATTAAAAGTTGGTTTCAGTAATTTTTTTAATCTAAAATATTTTTCATGTATAGAATGAGCAAAATTTAGAGTCATCTTTTTCCTCAAATATAATGCAAAATATGGTTGATGAAGGAGGAGGACATCTAGACTATGATTTTAATCAGTCAAGTTCTGTAATTTATGACCAAAGTTCTCAATCAAAACAACAATAAATCTTTAAATTAACAAATAATTAAGGTTTACCAAGTTAATTATACTTTTTTTGAATCTGCCCTTCTTTTTATTAGTTCATTTTTTTTTTTATAAGATGCTCAATGTTAATAATTAAAGTATGAATAATATATATATATATATATATATAGCTAATAATCTAATTACTAAAAATCTATTCTCTGATAAATAAATGTATGTTATTCTTTATAAATTATTTTTATATTCTAGAAATTTTCATACTACTAATTTCTGATAACATTGGTCCTAAGAAAATATGTTATAAACATTTAAACTTTGTTTTAAGTAATACTATTTATATATTATATTAATATATAATTTATAGAAAATTATATTTATATTATGTTTTAATGTAAATATCAATGTACTTTATTTTTTTAAATTCTTTATATTGTATAACTTATTGGTTCTCATTTCTCATTAGTCTATTAATGCACAATATGTTCCTTCTAGTAGGTCCAGTTTTGGTTCCTTTGTTCTTGTACCTGTTTCATATTATTATTTTTTGTATTATAAAGGGGCGTGGTAACTTGAATTTTTTTTAATAAATTTAAAATATATTCAAGTACTGTTAGTGTAAGTTATTGGAGAATAAATACTTAAATATAACCTTATCTGTATAATTTTTTCTAAATGTAATTTTATTTTAATAATTTTAATTGAAGAAACATAAAATATAAGAACACATGAGTAGATATCATAATAATGTTGTTTATAATGACTCATATTTAAATTTAAGTAATAATTTTAATGAAATGATACACAATATATTATATTTTAACAAATGGATGTATAGAAAAATTAAAATAAAAATACTAATTGGTCTTATATTCCTCTATATTGAATTAATAATAAAATATTTTTTTAAGATGTGTAACAAAAAAAAAAATGATTTAATTCAACTTAATGAAAACTTTACCTTTATAGTGCCCCTGTCAAAAATTGACTATTTATCCAATTTCTATGTATTATTTTTCTACTCTCTAATTTTTATTGTTCAAAACATTTTAGAAAAATTGGGTTAAATATTAAGTTACCTATGCCTGTATTTAATGAGGCATTAAAGTTATTCACTAAATTTTAAGATTTTATTAAATTTTGTGTATCTTATTTTTATACAACAAGAAACTAATTACAAGAAAATATATTTTAAACATGAGTTTATGTACAAAATAAGTTTATTAACAAAATATATACTTATTTTAATCTAAATAGAATATTTTATAATAATAATATTTAATTTATGTTAATGAATTATATATTAGTCAACATATCACAGTGTGTGATATAATTAGTTTGAAAATCACTTGATCCATTCTGTGGAGTTTTGATCTATGACGCATTCAGAACCAAGTTAATTAATAGTATCAAATCAAATTTCTTACAAACAAATACCTAAAAATAATCACTCTCTGTGAGATTTCAATACAACAGATTGTTTGAGTAATTCATTAGGATCCTTAGTTTCATCATTTACTTCAGATTTTTCTTTGAGTACTTTACCACCTGTAAAACCTGTAGTAAATTTTGTAAATAAATTAAAAGTACTTTTTTAAACTTAAATCATAAATGGATCTCATAACTTATTACTTTTGCCAATTTTTATTAAATAGTTCAAAAAATTGTCATGTAAAATATAAATATTTTTTGGATTAAAATTGTTGTTTAACTAAAGTAAACAACATAAAACAAAAGTTAATAAGATAACTATATGTATAATAAAACTTCAAATTTTAATTTTAAAATATTAATATTTATATTCAGCCAAGTACAATTAAATATTCATATAATTTATTTTGTGAATTTAAGAAAAAGTTTTGGCTTAAATCCAATCTCTAAAATCAAGATATGCAACACTACTAGCATAAATATAAGGTTTGTTGTATTGAATAATTTTAAATTAAAAAAAATGGTAGGTAAAGAGCTGATAGATAAACCAAACCAATATTTTTTAATATTTATTTGAAAATGGTTATGAATTCTATTCTAAAATTTATTTACCTAGAGCAAAACATGTTACAGTGGCAACAACACCGACTTTAATTCCTGCTAAACATCCTAATGGGCCACCAACACATGATCCAATAACTGCACCAATTAAAGGGTATGACATTTTTTTTAACTTTGCTGCTTTCCTTAAGGATTGTTCTGCTTGTTCTACATTTTCTTGAGTAGATTCAACATGCATTTCAATTTGGTTAACATTTTCTTTTTGTTCCTAGAGATAATAAATTCATTAATGATAAGGAAATTAAATAACTCTAACCAGTATTACTCACATTTACAAGTTTACCTAGATCTCTAAACATAACTTGAATATCATTTATATCTCGTTCAACATTTGTAACATCACATTCAATAGCCAACATTCGTTGTTGTTTTTCTTTTTCTGATTGTATCGATAATAATAGTTGTTGTTGTTTATTATCTTCAGATAAATTTGTATTGCTTAAGTTTTCTTCTTCAGGTCTTAAAACAGACCTTTTTTCTTCTAAATCGTCATCTATTAACATTAAATTAAATAATTTATACAATCAAAGCTATTAGAATTACAAATAATTTCTTATTGAAGACAATACTATCAAAATTTAAAAAAAATTCCCATGCTTTCACAAATGGGTAATACTACCAAAAATTTTTTTAAAATTAGTAAACCTGACTCTTTAACTACACACAAGGGCAATTCAAAATAGCAACATTTAAATGAAAAGTTCAACTTAACTACTATATACTAAATCATTTAAATATATATGAAATAAATGGTTACATAATACACAAGTAAAAAAAATTGTTATATTAAACAAAAAATGTTAATTTTTGTGTAAAACTCATTGCATTCTAGGTTATTCAAATTTTCTACTTTTTTTTTTTAAATTATTAATGTCTATAATTTAGGTCAAATAATATAGTCATATAGGACAGAGAATAAATACCCCATTTATCCCTCCCTTTTAAAAAAAAAAAAAAAAATTAAATAAGATTTAATTGTTAATTATTTAAAAAAATTTGAGTACATGCTGTGTTTGACATATTTAATCTTATCAAAAATAAAACACAAACTACAGATTTTCATCAAATCATTTTTTATGATATTGATTTTAAGAATCATCAGTTATCATTTTACTATCTAAACTATTTCGCATTCCTACTTTACTGATTTTTTTTTAATATATAATAAATATTTATTTATATTTAATTTTTAGCGTAAAACTATAGCTGTTAAAGAAATAATTAAAAAATTTTTTATGCAAAATTAAAATTACTTTTAAACATATTAATTGCTACCAAAATATTTTGTCTACTTGGATTCATAAGATTGTCAAATGTTTGTAAATCTGAGTCTGCTACTTGACTACGTAAAGTATCCATCTCTCTGAGAAGAGCTTGAGCACGTTTAATAGATTGTGAAGCTTTTATTTTACTTTGTCGTAAAGTATTTCGATCTTCTAATCTCTTATGCTAAAAAAGGATATTATATTAGTTTAAAAAACAAGAAATTTACTTTTATTACCTTTAATAAATTAGCTTTTAAACTTCTTAAGATTTCTACTTGATGTGGTATAGCATTTTCAATGAAATTTTTCATTGGTAATTCTAAATGTCGTAACCTTTGTTTTGTTAGCCATAAACTTGAACTTTCTGCCATCTTCCTATACAATTTTTAAACACAGCAAATTATTGTCCAAAGCCTAATCGAATTAACAAGTTAAATTCAAGTTATATTTTAATATAATATTTTGGTTTATTCATTGCTTGATAGTGCTTGGTCTAATGATATCATCATCAGCTGTTTTTTATTTTTATGATTGTCTTGTAAACAGTAAAGAAAAAAATAATATTACCAAACTATTTATTACTTGTTCTGTAGTACGCATTTAGATCTTATTTATTAATGCGTGTTAATTTATTAAATGTTATAAAATTATTATTTACTTGATTATCATGAGAACTTTTGTGGCAGATTTGAATATTTGGTTGTTTCTTTTAATTATTGGTAATATATTTATAGCTTTAAAAATGCAAACAAACCAGAATTAATCAAATTAAAAGTAATTGAATTTTTTTGTTTCTTAAAATATATTTGTTATTAAATGAATTTTTTTTTAAGTATGATAAGATTAAATATCTGTATAAATATGTCTAAATATAACATATATATATAATATGAACAACTAACAATATGTACTTCGTTTTTTTTTTTATTTAAGCAATAGTAATTAACTACTTTATAAACATTAAAAAATTATTTTTCGATCTAAAATATTATTGGACAATATTTTCTAATGGTGTGATATAAGAAGAGTTAGAAGGCTTATCCTCTGGGTATATAAGGCTATATCAGTGACCTACACAGGGGTAGAGTTCTAGGATTTTAACCCTCCTCAACACTATTTCAGCTACATAGTGGAGGTAGCAAAGCTAAAATCTTGTATACATAGTACTTACTATGCTATATCTCCTACTACTATTTTTCTACCTATATAGGGTAGTCAGTCTATTACAAAATTACTTTCAAAATAAAAAAAAAACCAAACACAACCTAAAAATTTTTTTGGGGGTTTTTTATTTACACATATTTTTTAATTTATAAATTATTCAATACTTTTACAGTTCATTCCTTATATTTATTAAGTATGTCAACTTAATTTTTTTTATGACAGCATACATATTTAAATAACTTATAAAATAGAAAATGATCTAATTAAAAAAATAACTGGTCAATAACAAATTTGGACCAGTACTTTAGGTGTTATTCATATTTTTATACCTAGATGGGAAGAAGAGTGTGACCGAAAAATAGTTAGTAATAAAAATGATAGCATCTACTCCTTACCTCTAGTCATTAATTTAAATTGTTAGTAACTTCCAAAGTTATTGGGGAAAAAAGTATTATTGATCAGTCATTTTCTCATTTATAAAATAATTAAATATGTATGTTGTCATGAAAGTGTTAAAGCTTTCATGGTTTGTTTTGTTGCTTGAAGTGCTTAACGATGTATTCATGTTTACAGTTGAATTCTGACATTTCGGACTCAACTGTAAACATGGATACATCCTTAAGCACTTCAAGCAATGTATGTCATTTAAAAAGTTAAGTTGACACCCCTGAATTTTTTTATTAATGATATATAAATAAAAAAAAATACATAATAATTGATAAATTAAGAAATGTAATTAAAAATCCTCAAAAACTTGCAAAATTATTTTTATTTTGTAAATAATTGTGGGCTGTGGTGAACAGATCACTCTTATACATGGACAGAGAAAAATTGTAAAAGTTATAATTCTTACATGAATTAAACCTCTCAATTATTGTATGCCCCCTTTTTTATACTTATTTGTTATAATTAAATATTTTTACACAAAATAATAATAATAATCATAAAGATCATCAACAGCCTATCCAGCCACTCTTTTCTAGAGGTCAGGCAGTTGCTTTTAAACCATAGGATACTTAATGTTCTTTTAAATGCAGCTTTTTGCAATACAAATAACTGCAATTATTTGAATGTTGCTAATTATTGTACTTAATAGTGAATGTGCAAATAAATCTTAAGGTGACCTGTATATTTTGGTTAGAAATACATTATTCATCAGTACATAGGCATTGAGCTACTATTCCATGCTACCTAGTTGTAAGCGTCTTTCGTACTTTCTAAAACAAAAATTAAATTTTTTATTTGAAAGGTTATTAAATAAAAAAAAAATACTCACTAAGTTTTTATTTCCAAATAGATCACTGCAAAATATTTGATGATTAATAATCAGAATGTCATCCAACTCTTTAGTAAAGAATTCAGTTTTAATTGGAGGATTGACATTTTTGGGTTATTTAGCTGGAGGAAAACTTGGTTCAATGCTTGGTAAGTTTTTTTATAATATAATAGTCAATGATATTTTATTTTTAAAAATAAATATTAACATTATTGATACTTTTTATAAGTTTTTCTTATAAATGTATTGAGTTTTTTAGCTTATTACAATTAAGCATAAAATTTTGTGATATGGTTAAATGGAAGGCATGTTGTAATTTGATTAATTTTGGACTACATGACATCATGCTGGTGTGAATTAAAGAGATAATTTAGACGGCCTTAAAGTGATGCATTACAGACATTTTAGGGGAGTCTATAACCATGTCACTCTGTGAAAAAAAACGTAAAAATATTATTTAGCCTTTTTTTTATAAATTATGTTAAATACTATGTTTCTCAACCTTTTACTATTGCAACTCTTTGTTGGTTATTAAATTTTTTTAACAATATCTACTTTTAGTACAAGTTTATTTAAATCATATGTGTAACTCTAAACCGCAATATTGCAAATAATTATAAACAAAATTTTTAAAACGTGTATATTTTTTAGTTAGTTTTAGTTATTAGAGAGGTGGACATAATGCCTATGCACTAAGACCTGTTGGTCTATTGTGTACACCTCATACCGAATTGTCTTGATTGTGTTTACACATCTAAGTGTTATTACATTATACCTATCATTGTATAAGGGTGGACTATCAGGGCACCCCCTGTGGATGATTAAAGAGTTTTGTCTTTCTGGCGAAATTAAGTATTTCTCTGGGTCTTGGGTTTTCATATCTTTTTTTTTTTAAGAAAAAGTTTACTCAAATAGTTTGATCTTAGTGTGGACAAAGCTTCACATTTGCACATTATGTGAAATGAGTCTTCCTCTTCTACTCCACGCTTCCTGCACAATGGTGATTCCAATACCCCCATTGCGTAAAGATGTTTAAACAATTGACTATGTCCTGTCAGTAGACCAGTCAAAGTGTTTATTTGATGTCTAGTCATGCTATTGAGATCATCCAGCAATAGGCATATTAGATTGTATAGGTACTACCAAATACTTTCAGATTTTTCTTCAACAATTCTTTAGTAGTGCTATGAACGATTTCTCAGTAAGTCCTACCACTGATTCTGGCCTAACATGGGTGTTCTCTGCTCCTTTCCTAGCTAGAAAGTCAGCTTTTTATTTCCAGTGATGCCGTTGTGTCCTGGTACCCACGCTAGTGTAATTTTGTTGAACCTCGATAGTGATTCTAAAGTTTGGCATGACCCCGAGTCGCTTTGTTATAAACGATGCTCCGCGATTCGTGCTACCTTTATCAGCCGTCACATTACTATGAGTATTTGACTGACCAACATCGCGTGCCATACACCACGGTACAAAGTTCAGCAAATGCCGCACGCCCGACAACGACTCGCCACAAATGATACGTTGAGTCTTCTTCCTGTTGTCAAAGTGACAACGTCGAGGATGTACGCCACCGGCTCTGGACATGCCGTACGACCGGATTCGACGAACCGAACCGCACCCGCGCACCGTCGCCATCAACGCTGCTATTTTTTCGAAGATCATGCCGAACACCGCGTCGAATACCGCGATATTATGCGAAGATTATTATTAACTGTGTTCGTTTTTTTAGGTTTGTTTGTTTGTTTTTAAATAACCTGTTGTTGTTGATAATAAACGGCCCACGGGTTTCTACCCTCAAAACCAGTGTCGACTAAATTAATGCGATGTAACTCGTGTTAAGTTTCCTTGCATTCGAGGACAAGCATTGAATTTACCTAAATTGTTACATAGTGTTTCAGAGACCCTTGACTATCACTTATGATAGTTATATTTCTTTTCTTGTATACCAGCAGGTTTTGAGCTCCTAACAGTATCGCCATCACCTCTGCTTGGAAAACAGAGGGTGTTGTGCCCATTGACATACTGACATTTATTTGAGGCTTTAGACTCCAAATGCCAGCACCTACCTTTCTTAATTTTTTGGATCCGTCTGTATATATTACAAATCCTCTCTTCTCAATAAAGTGGTTAATATTTGTAATATTTATAGAGAATGTTATTCTTAAGAACTGGTTTTATATAGTCCAAGGGGTATTCCAAAAAGTCCTGGTCTATCTCTTTTATTGTTTTACCGTGTTATGCTGTGTCGCTCTCCAAAATCCAAGTTCCTAAGTTGTGGAATCTTATTGCTGTGGCTTTAGCGTGAGCTATAACCTCTAGGTGCAGAGGTGGTAATCCGATTAGTGCCTCTAATGCGACCGTTGGTGTAGTTCTTAATGCTCCAGTGATGGATATGGCAGCCATTCTCTGTATGTAACTAAGTTTTTTCTTAACTATAACGAGTGCTGTTCTGGTCCACCAGACCTGGGCACTATACAATATCATAGGTTTAATCACTGAAGTGTATAGCCAACACTTTATGATATATATGTTATATGATTTATATAACTCTTGGTTTAAGATCCCACGTATTTTCCAAGGCTCTGTTGCAAGTCCACAGTGTGGTCATTGCTTTTTTTTTATTTTTGTCTCAATATGTGATTTTCATTTTAGCTTACCCGGTTTTACCGGGTCCCAACGCGACCCGGTCACATTGAACGCCGTCAGCAACTGATAATATAGAATTAGGAGAGAGAGAATGTATACCACATCCTCCCCTCAATGTATATACAAAAAAATAAATACATTTTTCTATAGAATATTAAATGTTAATCATTATGACAATAATTCATTATACATTATAAAACTTATAAACATTTAATATTATTTTATGACCCATAAAATTAAACATATATTAATTTAAAATATTAAGTATGTCGTTTAGGTAGACATTGTTTCTCATGGGTGCGAAGTTTGCGTTCCTGTGATTTATAGTTATTTTTTGATTCAATACTCTTATTAATACAGGATAAATTGTTTTTATTTCCCCATATTACCCCCTGTTTTAGTATTAAATGTTCTCTAGTCCTACGGTACCTCACTCCATCTTCCCTCGCCAAAATAAAAGACCTCGAACCTACTACTTTACCTTGCATCCATTTTTTTTATGTTATACTCGTAGTCTGTTTTAAATAACACATCATCCCCAACTTGTAACTCTTTAAGATTTTTACTATTTTTATCATGATAACTTTTTTGTTTTTGTTTTAGCTAAAAAATTCATTTTTTATTTGACTTAAGCTTAACTTAGACGGCTCTAATAAATTATTTATTACCGGTAACTTATCTCTCAACTTATGAGACATCAACAATTGAACTGGTGATAACACCAAATCCTCTATTGGTGTGTTTCTATTGTTCAATAGAAATATATTTACACTGCTCTTTTCCTCCTCTGATTTTTTAAAGATTTTTTTACATGTACTCACAGTCTTTTCTGCCTGTCCATTGCTTTTAAGATAATGTGGACTACTATAAATTGATTTAATGTTCCACTCAGTGCAAAAATGTTTAAATTCTAGACTGTTAAAGGGAATATTGTCCGAAACAATCTCATCCGGGCAACCATGAAAAAAGAAAAAAAGGTTTTTATTACCTGTGAAGCAAACTTATCTTTAATTTTTCTAAGGTCAAATCACTTTGAAAAATAATCAGTTACCACTAGATATGACTTCGATTTATACTCTAAAATGTCTGCACGGAATATCATGAATTAACATCGGTAATTTACTATTGTTACTTTTAAATGTATCACATAATTCACAATTATTTACAATTTTTTCGATATCATTATTAATTTCAGGCCAGTAGATTAACTCCCTTGCTCTAGATTTACATTTATTTATAACAAAATAACCTTCATGTAAAACATTTATAACATATGCCCTCATAGCCCGTGGAATGACTATTTTATTATTAAAGAATAACACACGATTTACAACTGTCAAATTTTGTAGAAACTAGACATCTCTCCCTGCATGCTATTATTAATCGGCCAATTATTATTTATACATTCTACAATCATTCTATATTCATTATCAACATATATAGCTTCTGTTAATCTATTTAAATAATCTATTTCCCTGCTCTGTGGTCTACTTGTTAGTGAGGTAGTCTTTGAGGACCAGAGCCACTATTTTGTCATCGGTTACCACATCCCTATAGGTCGGTACTCAATGAGTTTTCTTACATGGAGTTTCTTGTCCCTTGACCTTAGGTTTTTTGAGCTTTGGTTACCTTTGACTTTTCCAAGTCATCAGTTCCCTTATCTCCATCTTTTGGTAGGTTCTTCTGCCCCTCCATGATTGTCCGGTTGTATTGCATCTCTGACTACCGCTCAGTTTCTCAATGGTTACTTTACCTTTTGGCTAATTACCCTGTGACAAGTTAGCAACCCTTTCAAATGGTATGGCTGGGTTAGGGGAAACGTGTGTCTTAAAGAAGAATAATAAGTGAAGTACACTAGTAATTCGGAAATTTGAAATCGTGATATTTTTTAGATTAGTATTGATTTGACAGTGATCACTATTTAAAACAAATCTAAAAACAATTACATGGTTTTTAATTTTAAAGATTGATTACTCATAGAGGACGAATCACTAGAATGTTTTTTTATTTACAAAATTAGAATTAAATATTTAGTTAATATTATTAAAAAAACACGTAAATCTTTTTCTAAAGCTGATTTGTCTCAAAAATAGGTTCTAAAGTTTATTTATGAGATGTACTTTTGTAGCACAGATACGTCATTTGTAGTATTTGTAGTATGTAATTTTATGTATCTTAAATTTCATTTTTATAATTATGATCATATATGTATATGATTTTGTATAATTCTCCCATCCCTATCACTCCTTTTAACCAGCCTTTATAAATATGCGATATTTAGAAGGTGATTCATTTAAGATAAGAAAATCATTTTCTTTGAAACTATTGAAAATCTAAAATTTTTGTAAAGGGAAATATTTGATTAAATTTTTTACGGATAAAAAACATAAAATTTAATTTTCTTACTGAGAACCCATATTTTTACTTTTATGATACAATAGAAAAAAAAAAATTACAAACACTTTTTATTATAATTTTTTTTATCCAATGAACCGTTGACCTA